TCTTCGACCGCTGGTCCATCGATTTCATAGGAAGACTACCCAAGACGCCAAACGGCAACTGTTGGATAATCACTGCAATCGATTATGCTACCGGTTGGCCTCTTGCCAAAGCCCTCCCCGATGCGACAGCTGAGACGACAGCGAACTTCATCTATAATGAGATCTACCTACCTTACGGCGCCCCAAAAGAGATCCTTACCGACAACGGTACGAACTTACTCTCGAAGGCCGTTAAACACCTCGTCGACCAACTTCACACCGTCCACCATGTCACCACCCCAGCACACCCACGAACGAATGGAAAAGTCGAGAACCTTAACGGCACTCTTGGATCCATCCTTACAAAACTCCTTCTCGGTAAGCCCACCAGACTGTGGGACGAGTACCTAGGGCAGGCGCTATTCGCCGCTAGAGTACGAACCCACGCAGTGGCAAAAAGAAGCCCATTTTACCTCCTATACGGCATACAGCCTCACCTTCTAGGAGATGACGACAACCCCGATTCCAACAGCGACATCATGGGATCAGCCTTTGACCGACTAAGCCAAGTCCGTCACGCTAGATCTCATGCGAACGAACTACTCTTGAATCATGCGCTCCGCTCCAGACGCATTCTTGATACAAAGACGAAGTTAACCAGCTTCCAACCCGGCGATTGGGTCTTAGTCCGACATGAGACTAAGGAGAAATTTGAGCCACAGTGGTTTGGTCCTTTCAAGGTCCTTACTGCTCATCCCTTGGGCACATACGCGTTACAAGAGCCCCAAGGACGAGTGATGAAAAATCTGGTTAATGGAGCACGGTTGGTGAAAGCCAACGTCGACAATCCTGAACAATTGTGGTCCTCTTCGCAGTTCTCGCGTGCTTTGCGACGCCGCGGCATGACGCTTAGAGACCCTCAGGACTTGCATATCATCCTCGAGAGCGTTGAGGCAGATGTCCTCTCATACGCTACCATGTCAACTACCTCCCACAAAGAATGGGAGCAGAAATGGGGTAAGTTGACACCCCCTCGTGGCGAATTTCCTCCCGCGAGAGGCTCAACCTTACAACCCAACCCAATACTCGTACCACCTACTCAACCGGTACATTTCCCCAATCCTAGCAATCCCACTCATAACGACGACGATGATGCTACCATCATCGCTTCCGACACAGAAGATTAAGGACCCACGCTTTTTTCTAAGTGGGGGAGGGAGTATCCTTACCAACCTTACTCTTCCAACTTTTGTCCTTACCCCTAGACCAATTTCACAATGCCTCTTACCTTACTACGACACTTACACCTACAGTAGAGATCGAGCAAGACAAAAAGAGGAGGGGAGAATTCAGCGTTCATATTAAGCGCGGGCCAGCCGCGAAAAGAAAAAGGAAAAGAACAAGAACGCAACAACAAAAAGGACAACCAGACAAGACAACGAACGACAAAACAAACCACTAAGGACGGCCACCACCCCGCCCTTACTCGAAAACATCATCAAGACACGCCTGATCGGCGTACAACTCCTTGCCCATCTCAGCAATCTCCAACACCCGACGAGCCTCTTCAGCCACCGTCGACCAATCTCCATTGGGCACAGTCTTCACCCACTCCAACGGCTTGATGTACTTGTGGGCCTTCGACGACCGCAACAAGTCTCCATAGGCGGCGAAGGACCCCTTGGCTTTCACCTTGGGGGCCTTACGCGCCTTGGGACGCGGCGTGGCTTCGCTCTGATCCCCTATAAGGCTAGTTAGCTTTCGTCCTTACTCCTTGTTTCCATGAATCGCTGATACTTACTCTTGTCGCAACGCTTCGGACTGTTCTGAAACATACACCCAGAGCAAACGGAGCCGGCCTTGGGCATGACACAAACCGTGAAGGGATTCCCCACCTTGCAGGCGCGACAGGGGACAGCAGCGACTTCACCACCAGCATCGGCAAGAAGGGCCTTCCACTTCTGGCCAGTGAGGAGCCCCGGTTGCTCTTTCAAGACCGGGACCCTCCTCTGGCGCTTGCCCTCAAGCCATGACTCCATGATCACGTCTTGTGAGCCAGCTCGGTCACAAGACGCCGACTGTGAGCAGACACCTCCCTACCGTCCTGCAGATAACGGTACTCGAAGTCGACGTAGAAGTCGGGGACATCAACCCGCCGACGAGCCTTCTTTGAAGGCGAAGGAGAAGGCAGACCAGCAGCAGACGAGACGGACGAGACAGAGTCCTCTCTCCCATGCTTAGAGGGAGACAGGCCGGAAGGCGCAAGGCGAGGGACGTTGGGGGGCGGCAAAAACGGAGGAGCGGCAAGGGCGAAGGACGACGAAGGACGAGACGAGAGAGCAGACCGAGGTCTGACGGGGTTTCCCCCATCAGAGCCAAGGCCTGCCTCATCACGGACACTGGCAGTTGGGCGAGGCGGCGCAGGGACAGGCGAATTCACTGGCGTCCAACCACCAACGACCACAGGCACAGAAGGAGCCGGGGCAATGGTGGCGGCGACGGTCGACTCCACGGCGACGACAGGAGGAAGAGTGGCCCTTTCAGGTCCCACTCCGTCCTCCGCACTGTCGACGCCAGTGGGAGCGGACAAGGCAGCCTCAGCTGGACCACCGACGTTCGAGACGTCACCAGCCTCAGCAATCCCTTTCGGGTTGCCTTCCTCGGCGGTGACGTCCTCGGTCTCGGCGGCCTGAGCGTCCTCGGAGCCGTCCTTACCCACCGATGGAGTATCCTTAGCGACGGCAGCGGCGAGTTCTGCGAGCTGGAGGGTCGGATAGTCATCGGCGGAGTCTGTCTCGCTGCTGTCATCCAGCGGACAGATGTCGGCGTGCCGCTTGATCAAGTTGGCAGCACGGCGGGCCTTAGCGGCAGCCTTAGCCTGCTTGG